AAACCATCACTTATTATAAATTGTCATCTTAATTATTTATCTTAATGGAAAAGTACTAAAGACAAGAAAATCAAAACCCAAAACTCCATAAAAACTATCATATATATATTAAAAAAAAACTCCATAAAAAGGTTGAGATCAACGCTTATTACTTCTTTTCATTCCTTCTTTCACGATCTCTTCCAATAAACCGGTATTGTTCGACACTCCTACGAACAAATTGGAATTGATAGAGTGATCTTGAATGGAGCCACCAACTCTTGTTGTTTCTTGTTGTTGACGTTGAGGATAGAAAATCGTAGACAATTCATCAAATTGTGTCGGACGAGGAAGATCTTGTTGTTGGTTTGGTAGAGTACTCATCTTTCGAAAGATGTTTGCAAAAACTTTAATTGTTATTGGTTTGGTTAGCACAAGCTTGAGTCTATTATATTTATAAGTTATTTGTAAATGTAAGAAATGGCAATGTACTATTTTTATTTTTTTTGGTAAAATGACAATGTACTATTTAACATCCTTATTTTAGGAAACATGTATTTTCCTCTAATTAAACTTTGCTTATTCAAAGTTGCATGTCAATACTACTTTACCAAGTTGGATATAAAAAGAAATTCAAATCTTTACTAGTTTAATGTTTTCAAGAAAATATTCAAATCTCTTGAATTAGTATACATTTTCTTTAGAAAAAAAATGAATACATTCTTCCAATTTTTTTTCTTTAGCAAAAAAAATGCATTACATTCTTCCAATTTTTTTCTCTTTAGCAAAATAAAATAAAAAATAAAAAATTAGTATACATTTTCGTCCAATTTTTCCAAATTGGTTTAAGCCGGTTAATCTAATTTTAAGGGGGAAGGGTATTTTCGTCAATACCCTTTTATGATACAGAGAGGATAAACCCTTATTCATCTATCGCCGTCGTTATCTCTCTTATCGGAACGTTGTTTTGTTTCCCTCCGACGACACTACTCAAAGAGACTTCGAAGATCGAAGAGAGAGCTTCATTCATGGCCACAAGGTTCTCTCTCTCTCACTGTCTCAATCTTCTTCTGTAAATGCAATGTCGAATTTCGATCTTCTCTCTCTCTTGTTTGATTTCCCTTCTCTCTCATTGTAATCAGGAGGTTAAGAGCATTCAAGAGATGGATGAAAGCTAACGGAGTTGATTGCAGCGACGCTCTCAATCTCGTCGACGATCAAAACGAAGGAGTCTCCGTAAGAGCGTTATGCGATTTGAGTGAAGGAGATGTTGTTGCAAACATTTCGAAAACTGCTTGTCTCACTATCAAAACCAGTGGGGCTCGTGAGATTATCGAATCTGCTGATTTAGATGGAAGTTTAGGTCTCTCAGTAGCTCTCATGTACGAGAGAAGCTTAGGTGAAGAATCTCCATGGGCTGGATATCTTCAGATTCTTCCTACTCAAGAGGATTTGCCTCTAGTCTGGTCCCTTACTGACTTGGATTCCCTCTTATCTGGAACTGAGCTTCATAAGGTTTTTAACCCCAATTTTGATTACCATTTGCATTTCTTGCTTTTGTAGCCATTAAAGAGATTCACTTTTAGTTGATTTCACCACTCATCAGTATGAATTCTTGTAGGCAGGTGGTGAAAGAAGATCATGTTCTTATATATGAGGATTGGAAGGAAAATATTTTGCCACTTACCTCTTCATTGCCTCGGATTGTTGATCCTGATTCGTTTGGTATCAAAGAGTATCTTGCAGCTAAGAGTCTAATTGCTTCACGGTCTTTCCAGATTGATGACTACCATGGATCAGGGATGGTCCCTCTTGCAGACCTGTAAGTTGACTTGACCTCAGATTTGTTTTGGTTACTAATTTGTCTACATTAGCCTTGTTAAGCTAATTTTGTATATCAACCAATGAAAGTTTGAGAGATTGAGTCCAACCATAATACCCTTACACATGACGATTTCATTCCAGAGGCATCTACACAGTAAACCATGGAAATGCTTTCCTGTATCAGCTGTTTTTTGCTCTCTAATCTTTGCAACAATTTAAGCTAGTCGATGAAGTTTGTATTTTTGTTTAGGTTGTATGTTATTTACTTGAAATTGTGCTTCTTAGTTTTGTCATATGTGGGGATAAATGATCCTGGGAAATCGGTTTTTGATGGACTAAATGTAATTCTAGCATGCTCTGTGAATTTTCTTACAAAAACTCGATGTTTACTCATTTTCTACTCTTCTGAATCTTGCATGTTTACTCCATTTGGCAGCTTCAATCATAAAACAGGAGCAGAGGACGTTCATTTCACCGCTGAATCATCTCACAGTGAATCAGATACTGAAGCTGATGAAACTGAGAGTCTTGATGCTGCAAATGAGGCGACTGGTGAAGATGATGAGCCTTCCAGTAAAATTTATTCCTCGGCTGAGCAATCTGTTGAAGAAGTTCCTGGTGAGAACACTGATGACAAAGCC